TGTGATGAGGTTATATTCTTGGAAGTTTTAAAGCCCATCTTATTAACCTGGGCGTTAGGTTTTTCCCCGAGTAAAGTTCTACCAACAGCCGCATGATTCCGAAAAGACTGTTACTGGCGATTTGCCGAAATATAACTCGAAATTTCTGTACAGCCATTAATACGGCTTAATGTTTCTCTCTTCTGTAGCTGTATAATTCCTTTGTGTCTGAATTCAAAAGTTTTACTAAAAAATGCCAGAAGGATGGTTCCCATTTTGCATAAGAACCGCACCCACCGGCATAGTTCTGACGCATCTGCTGCAATTTCCAGGTTTTCAGTCCCCCTCCGGGAATTTCAAAACAGGGGCATTAATTAGCGCTTCTTTTAATCTTTCAAATGCTGTTAGCTTCCGCTGTCCACGTAAATTTACCCCTTTTTCTTTTGATTACTAAGAGTGGTTCAACAATATTAGCGAAATCTTTTATGAAAGATCGATAGTAAGAACATAACCCAAGGAAAGAAGAAAGTTTCTTGGCGGTGTTGGGCGGTGGGAAATTCTTAATAGCTTTTATTTTTGAATCTTGCGTTTCTATACACTTTTGCGAAATTTTATAACCGAGATATTTAAGTTCTTTAGTTGCGAACTTGCATTTTGAGGCGTTAATTGTAAGACCGGCCTCTTTTAATAATTTAAAAACTTGTTCTAGATCATTAATGTGTTGTTCCAACGTACTACTCGTTATAATTATATCATCTAGATAAATTAAAGTTGATTTTCCTAGGACAGGCTTTTAGAACAATGTCCATAGCTCTCTGGAATGTTGATGGGGCCCCCCACAACCCAAAAGGCATGCGTAAAAATGCATAAGTGCCCGATTTTGTTATAAACGCGGTTTATGTATATCTTCGGGTCTCATAGCTATTTGATAGTAGCCAGACGTTAAGTCCAAAGTAGACATATATCTTGTCGATTTGATCTGTCTAATGATCTCGTCTATAACCAGCAAAGGGTAAACTGGAAATTTGGTAATACTATTTAGTTTTCTGTAATCAATAGCAAACCTCCAAGCCCTTTTATCCGAAGGAGGAAACTCGTTCTTTTTCCTACATAGTACGACTGGACTCGCGTACTCACTATTTATGGGCGTTATTATTTTATTCTTTAACATCTCCTGAATATGTTCTTCGATGATTACGTCTTTTTGTTTGTCATACCGATAAGGTTTAGTCCTACAAGGTTTTTCGGCTCACCACCAAAAATTACTCACCACTTGCTGTATTGCTTTCCTTTCATGGTCATTCAGATGGCTAAGGTCCACTTGCGGTGTCTCCACAGGTTCCACCACCCTCTGGTCCATCTCCAACACCACGGAACTATCTTGAAAATTTAATTTGGCCCTCGCGGCCCTTAAAAACTCCATACCTAAAATAAGAGAATTTTGCAGATTTTTCACTACAAAAATTGAGACTTTCCTCTTTTACCTGTAAGTTTAATGATAATTTCCCGATGCAGTGACATGTTTTTCCTTGCGCCGCTATAATTTCCGTATTTTTGGTTTTAAATAATCGTACCCTATAAAAATTCTTTTTGAAGAAATTTTCACTCATAAAATTTCCTTCTGCTCCTGTATCGATGAGGGCTTCTACTGGTACATCGCCAACCAGGACTTGTATAATTGGTAGCTGTGAGTTTTTTACGATGACCGTATTTAAATGTCTATTTGAGGGTTTTTTTTAAACTTCCGGGGTCTGGACCCTCCCTTTCACAGGCCCCTCTACTCGTTTAAAGCTTTCCTTTCAATCTGTGCCTTCTGGGTACGCGGATGTTTATTTTCAAATTTTCTTTTTGGGCCTTGACCTTCGAGTTTCGATGAGTTAGCTTGATAGCTCTTTCCCCCATAAGAGCGATTTCCATTTCTGGTTTCCTCATTTGAAGATTTCCTTCGGGTACTTTGAGAATATGTTTCCCCTCTCGCTTTTTCCGCTATTCTGCGATTTTGAAACTTCACTTCACCGCCAATTCGAAGAGTTCCTGCAATGTGCTTGGGTTTCTAATTTCAAAGTAGTCTTGAACAGCGGGTAACAATCTTGGCAAGATTATTTCAATAATCTCCACATCGGGTTTCTTCCCATACAGCATATCCGTTAGCTTAATTTTTCGTAGAATAAAGTCCGTCAATTCTGCTATATCCCGTTGATAGAAACTATATAGTTCGGCTTCCAGCCGTGTGCGATCTTTCACTATGGGGAAGGCCTTTACTAACGATTTTTTGAAATTTTCAAATGTATATGTCTGGCTTCCAAATTCCCCTAATAAAAATTTGCCTATATTTTTCCACCATAGCGCAGCCTGTCCTCTTAGTGCTGATGTGGCGATGGCAACTTTTTGTCTTTCAGGAACACGGTAGATCTGAAAGTGGTTTTCTAGACCTTCTAGAAATACCGCCACCGAATTTTTTCCGTCGAAATGGACGTTTGGCTTGATTGACGCTCTCAAAGTCTGGACCAGGTATCCAAATCCTTCCAGTTGGCTTGTCATTTCTTGAAGCTGTCCAGCGGTTTCCATCCAATTTTTGGCCATTTCAGTTCGATAAGTGTTCGCGCGCCAATGTAGCGTTGCGCGCCTCCAACTTGCACGCAACCACGAGGTGACTGTGAAAACTGGATAAAAGACAGAGTCTTGTGAAGGGTTTAAGTCCCTTTTTATTCAATGTAATAAATTACAATTGCGTGCTCTTGACGCTCACAGACTGCGCTAACTCGGCGGTCAAATAAAAATAATAACCTGAAAAGAAACTAAAGACAAGACTCTAACTACGAGGCTCTCTAAAAATAACTAACTCACCGCGTTTTACACTACCGCTGCTAATTCAGCAGACTTGAAGCTCACTTGAACGATTAACACTACTTCCTGCCAAGCACATAGGCCGAAACGCGGGGTTCTTCAATTTCTCGCTAACTACCTCCGCGCTCGTGAAGTAAGAATATCACACACCGAACTCGTTTCCTTTCTATTTAAATCAGAATACTTCCGCTGATAATTTGAATCCTTGCGCATTCTACTAAAATTTACATATTCTGGCATTGGCAGTTCCAGGGGAAAGTAAGGCTTGACAGGAAAGATAGTTTAAACTTAAAATAAATGTTAGTTAAAATAAATATAAACCCTACAAGTTGAATAATCTTCCGGACAAGTTCCGGATAAGTTGAATCTGTTTCTTCTGGATGAAAAGAATGTCTGTAAATTCATTCGTAAGGAAATGTTCGATCCTTATCTTTAGTTTTTCCGCTTGTTTTCGCTGGGGGTCGAATTGTGTTTCTCATACTTCTGGGTGCAGCTGGTCAACTGTTTTCTTTGACGAATGTCTTTATTTTGATTTCTCTGAGGGGGTTAAGCTTTTTTCAGAAAAATAAAAAGAGAAATTCTCGAGTTGGTGAAGTTTAATTTTATGCGGAATTTTTTGGCCTCTAATCTTGAGTGGGAGGATAAACCGAGATTTCTTCGGAACTCATAAGTGTTAAAGACAGATTTGGAACTGCAGTGATATAAAGTTTTGTTAAAGGTTCATGGGGCGTTTACCCTGTTGCGGGCAGCTTGCGCCTGCAATCTGGGGCAGTGTTTCCGTCAGCTTTTAGCTGATGAAAATTATAGTTTGAGCTAAGACAAAGTGCACTACGCAAAAATATAGCATTGCCGTTTCTTCATGATATTTTTCCAAGAATTTTAAATGTTTTTTTACTTGTAAAGAATAATGAGGTAGGATACTGATCAATTTATCCAGTTAACTGAATTAGAACATTCAAGAGATTAATAAATGTATCTGATTTATATTTTAAGTTGTTTTTTTGGGGGGGAGGGTGCGAGCGTGCGTGCGTGCGTGCATGTGTTAACTTACTTGGGTTTGTCATGTCATTACATTTGTTTTAGCCATAAGGCCTTTAAGAAACTTGGAGATTTTTACTTGAGGTTTTGTTAATATCTTTTAATTGGGTAATCATAATACACCCTTAATTTAGTACTAACCACATATTATAATTTATTGAATGTCGTTTTGGTTAATTAGTAATTTTTGGGGTGTGTGCTAGAATTGTATTTAAACTCTTGATTGACTTTTCTTTAGAGAAACTGATTGTTTTATGAATATTTCTTTTCTGGTGTTTGTGAGTTTTTTTTTTTTTTTTTTTTTTTTAATTATTGAAATGGAACTTTTTGCTGAAAGATTTAATGAAGAGTTGACGGAGCACGTTATTTAAGTAAAGTTTGTAAGAGAGATAGTATTTTATTTTTACCAGAGCACCATCTAAGACTTATTCCTCCTTAACTTTCAGGTTAAGATTTAATGAGTGTGAATTGGCATTTGATTGAATTAAGTGATTCTAAGAAATAGTTTACTTAAATGTTATTTGAGATAGATCAATTACACAGTTCCTCTCCTACTCTACACAGTTTTCAGATTATGTTTAGTAGAGAATTTTATTATTATTCTTTCTTTTTGTTAGTTTTTGCCCAGCACCAGTTAAGTTAGTTAAGTCAGACAGTAAACAGTTAAAACACTAAAATTCTCTGCTTCGTAACAACTATAATAATATCTGTAAAAGTATTAAAGCTTTATGACAAACACAAAAACATTTTTTAACTCGGAGGGCAGTGCATATATCTCTAATCTTAAGTTATATGTTGTTCAAATGATCACCGAAACACATAGCAGCAGGACTACAGATTGGTGTGCAAACAAACCTCAAAGCAAAATTTTGCAGGCTTGCAGGATAAAAATGCTTTTGTTATACCAGAACTGCAATGATAACATAAGGACCAAAAGATACTTACATACCTTCTGTGTTACATTTGAACATACATATACACATTTACATCTTTCTCCCCCCCCCCCGAAACACACAAACAGAAATAACTTTAATTCCAGCTGAAATACATAAAATAATTTTACAAACGTGTAAATGTTAATTGCATGAATGTTAAAATTGCATTAAGTAATTTTATAAATGATTTATTAAATATACCTGATTTGCAGAGGTTCATCTTGCAGTTCTTCATCATCAACCTAAATTCAAAATTAGTATTATCAGACAAAATTTTATTTAAAAGTCAGCAAAATAAAAAGCAGAAGAAAAAAAATGAATGGATGTATGCATTCACGTATGCATGTATATAAATATGTACGTGCATATGTTATTCGTGTATATATATATATTATATATATATATACATGCACACACATACATACAATTCTGAATCCAGTCCTCAGAATAGAACAGTACCAGCATAATTTTCTTTTGCAGATATTTTTTTAATCAAAAGTGCCAGCCTAAAAGACAGTTCCTTAGTTTTTAAATAAAATTCCAATTATTGATTTATATCAATGAATAAAATCAGTTAATATCAACTGCTGTTAAAAAAAATCTCATAGACTGACATAATGAAAGAATTTACTTTTGCTACACATAAATACAAAATCATACATTTTTCCACATCTTAAAAGAAGTTAAAAACTTTGAATAGTTCTAAATATTACATATTCCTGTATATGACAATAAAAATATATTTACTGAAAAACATCTAGCAAAACTGGTGATGACTTTAATTGTCTTAAATTAGTACATGTTAACTGTTGGTTTTATATATTTGAGAAATAAATCAATAATTAAAAATTAATTCTGAATTCTTATAAAACTGAAATGGTATGAATTATAGTAATTTTCGATTAGGGAAAAAATGTAGAGGATCATTAAGGCAATGCTTTAGCAGACATGTTAACTATTTGGGGAAAAAATAATTTTTTTAATTTTTAAAATATACAGAGATTTCATTTGATAGGATGATAAAATAACACTTCTTTTTTTTATTTTTTTCTGATAAAATTTTAGATTTAAAATTGCTTTAAAACTTAAGAGTGATAAATACAGATTTTTCAAGCTAATTTTTCTTAAATTCCCTCTGTAACAAAAGGGATTTCCCATGCATTTATCATGCAATACACATCTGAAAAAAAATTACTAAACAGTAATAGAAACCATGAATTTAAATATCAGAGGCTTGATTTGGTTTCTTTCCTGATAAGTGTATTTTTAACCACTGTTAACACAACGAAGTTTCCCTACTACACAATATTTTTGAAGAAGGGAGGCGAAGATCAATGGAGGAAATTAAGATTTTCCAAGAGCTGAAGAAACGGCTATCTTATTTCTTCTTTATTATTCTATCTTTATACCACTGCTTAGTGACCACATTAATATCATTGAGCTTCTGTTACTATATAAGTAATTTTCTTGTTAACGTAACTTGCTGTATGGGTAAGTATTCTATGTAATTAAAAACTGAGTCGTAAGAAATTGAAATTATACAATTAGCCTTTTTTTTTTAACACCAAATTGTACGAAGTTAATTTACTGCTGCCTAAGATCCAGTTGAACTTTCAAAAAATACTAAAAATACACTTGCAGTTACATAATCATATTTACTTTTGGTTCTTCATTCACATGGAACAGCTTGAAGGTCAACTACCTAATTTAAACAATGCAAGAATCTCTATATTCTTCCACTTGCTATTTTTTGTTTTTCTGTCGTTTTCAAAAATCATCTGAAGAATTACACTTTTTTTTTTTTTTTTTTTTTTTTTTTTTTTTTTTTTTTTTTTTTTTTAAAGATGTCTAGCAAGCTTTATTTGTAACGTTTCTTAGACTGAAGACAATAAATAAATTTAATTTGAAGCATTATAAAAATGGAAAATAATCTGAAATTTGCGTAGTATTTATTATATTTGCATAATATTAGTTATTTGAACTTTAATTTTAAAAATTAAATTTCTTGTAGGATGTAATTAGTAAAGTATACCTTATTTGTGTTGCACCTTTTTTATGGCTAATATAGATGATATATGAATAAAAGTAACGTGAAAAGTATTTTTGCATTTTTAATATACATTTTTATAAATTCTGTTCCTTATTTTCACAATTCTGTCACTGATTTCAATTGGCTATTTTATCTACAAATACCAACATATGGAAACTATGGCATTTAGATTTGTAATTTTTAAAGAATTGGAATATTTTCTCATTAAAATACTTTTCTCTTTTAAGGTAGGCTTAATAATAATAGTTACAGTAGCTAACAGAAAAGTATTTCTCTAAACAATAAATCATATTTCATAATTTCACGGCTGAACTGAAATATATTAGTTATGAAGTGAGCATAATTTGACATTCACTTTTTTCCCTCGATTGCGCATTGACATTTCTAAGAAATTTTTAACAGAACTACTGAAATGTGATATTTGTGGAATGTGATATCTTTTAATCAACAAGCTAGCTGATGACCAGCTGATGTGACCATTGCCCAAAATATACTACAATTTAATATTACTTCAGGGTTTGGTCAACCATTTCTATGCATGTTGACGAAAAACTGGCCAGAAATTATCTTTACATTGCTTTTACTTGTTAAGAGCTACGTTGAATCATTATTACTATCATTAGTAAGTCATTAGAAATGTCTGTGCAAAGAAAGAGGCCTTTGTACAGAACGCATAAAATTGCCAATTTACAAATTCTTCACTAAAAAATTCATCATATGGGAACTAGGTTTGTCTTGAGGCTAACTAACAATCAGTTTTCATACAATACCTGATGAAGATGAGCGCGTCCTCTTGTTGATAGGGAACGTCAGTTCCCTGCGAGCAAACAAACAGTTCTGTATAAGAAACGGAACGAAAATCAGAAAGAAACCAGGTGCACCACGGTATTTTTTCGGGAACAAAACAGCTAAAAAAAGAAGTGGTCAAGCAAAGAGAGGAAGGGGTTTGACAGAGTAAAAGGCAAAGAAAATATTTCCCTCGCTTGAACTTGCGCATTGTTCCCTTTGATATATAGTCGTTACTTGACTGTAGGAAAGCTGGCAAAATTTTTATGTCTTCAGCATTCCTCGAAGCTATTTCTGAAGTTTCCCTTAGGTTTAGTACATTGGGGGGATCTTTTGCTACAAAATTTAAAACGATTTTGAATTCCTTGTGAAATGACGAATCTTGAGGACAATTTTGCAGTATTCAGTATATCAGAAGCATCTACAAAGACTGGGTAGGCAGACTTTATCGTTTTTTGAAACTCTATATATGGGATAAGTCAGAAAAATGGCTAAACATATTATATGATGGTAGTAAGACATGCCACTAAGGAACAGTACTAACCAGTTAATGCGTTCACATTAATGCGTTGTTTCACTTTTCATTCGAATTTCTGCCATTCAGCAGCGTAACATATTATTCTTTTATGTATATAATGTGACTGTGATTAATTACCAAACTAAATTGCTTTGAAAGCAATCAATGTGTATCTTAAGAATATTATTATTATTATTATTAACATTTTTCTGATTGACTTTAAAAATGCATTTAATCGGCGACATATCTAATTAAAACATTAAATATTTTTTAGAATTACATTACTATTTTTTGACTTTTTAGATATACAAGATTTACGTCAAAAGTCTTAATCTGACGTGGGACTTTGGCGATCCGATTATCAATTTTTCCAGATTTAACATCATCATTTTAAATCTGGAGGATGGCATGCAAAATTACAAAATTAAAAATATGAAACGTAATTTTAAATAAGAACAATTATGATCTAAAGGGTATCAAATTTACAAAAGAAAAAGCTTAATATTTATTTGTTTCTTCTTAAACATTTCTTTCACTGTAGTTGTTAAGTTGCTTTGTTTCATGTGATAATATTTTCTCTTATCTACTAAACGACATAATGTCTGTTTAGTTTAAAAAGTTCTGCATTTAGCCTTATTAAGCTGTGTCAAGAGACCGACTATTTGTCATCGAATTTTTAGTTTCAATAACGTCTGTCACTTCTCACTCTCGGAGCGAATTATAATGACGTGGAATTGAGACTTTAAAGCGATCATCGAGTGAATATACTAGTAGAATATCAGCCAAATAAATAAAAACATCTGCCAAAGAGTGAAAGATCACTTCCAAGAAAAGCTCTGCTGCTCTTCCGCCGAGCCCAAATTCTAGTTTCGGATTCAACATTTTCGCTTAGAGCCTTTACATATTAGCAAATATATATCGAAATTTTAGTTGAATATATCGAAAGTTCAGCTACTTTGATAAAATTGCTCTAACAGTCTGCAAAAAAATAAGCCGGATCATTCGAAGATTACGAACAATGGAATCTGCAACATTCATGATAGATAATGGTTAGCTTAGACCGTCCGGTAATTAAATAAGCATGCAGAACGTATTTATGCGCATGCGCACATGCATATTCTCAGCCGTAAAGGTCTTACGTCAAGCCATAACGCCATGTGCGCATGCGTGACGCGACGCATGCGCAGAATTTTTAGCTTGAGGTCCGGTTTATGGGTGTCCGATATAAGACTTTGACTGTAATATTTCATAAGGGTTGTGTAGGAAATAGTTTTATTTTCCTACCCTGGGTTTTCTAAATTCCTCGTACGTGGTTCCTCCACATTCACACTTTGTACTTGTCACTCATTTTTCGTCCATGAAATTTAAGTCCTTCAATTCTCTATTATTTTCTGACTCTGGGGTATTATGCCTTCAGATGTGGCCTCAGCACCGCGCGTTCCATACTTTAGGTCGGTTTAATCTCACCAAATGTCTGGCCAAGCAATTCTGGTCTTGTCACATTTCCGTTTATTTTCCGTGCCGGGGTGTTCTGCAGTGGCGTCGTATGTGGCCTTCAGCACCACATCTCCAACACCTTAAAGCCAGTCTGTTCTCACTCCTACTCTGTATAAAGCCTCGACTTGTCTGGTGGATAAAAAAGCGTCGACTTGTCTGGTGGATAAATCATCTAAACGACCCATCAATTGATCCACTGGCTCATGGACTCACACAACTCTGTCTGGGTAGCGATCTCTACGAATTGCTCACTGGGCTGCCTCAAATTTCACGGCGTACAACAGAGCGTTTTTTATGTCCTTCACATATGCCATTCGCAGAGCTTTCGTATTCCAGGTCCCAGAATGCATGAGAAATGGCAGGCCCAGAATTTCCCTTGTTTGTCGGGCCCGACCTTGTCGAACAGGTGAGATGGGACCACGTTTTCCATCAGTCGCGAGCTCCCGCCATGTTTGGTGGCTTCTGTTACGGAAGTTTAATTAGCCCTGTGGCTTAAACACTTCCCACCGCGCAGCTCCAATGCGCCGGAGAGAGCTTCGAAATCTAGCCTTTGGTTTTCGGGAAGAGTCTGAAGGATATCCGCTGCATCTGCTCTTAAAGAAGAACGAGATGACAGGTCTTAGCTTGGGAATCCCATCCATTTGCTTCCGCCACTATAGAAAATTGTGCTTTATATACTTGCCTTCGATTTGTTGCTCCACAGAAGAAACTCTCTCTGGTATTTTGTTCTTTGACAAAAGAAACTCTTTCTTAAATTTCTCCAACTTTATTTTTAGCAGTGCCTATTCTGACCTACATAGAATCAAATTCGTTTTCAATTATGCAGGTAATCTTTTCTTTATTTTATCTCCTCTTTAACTGATTCTTGGCCCAAATTTCATCTCTTCCTGTCCCGCTTTCATCTCTTCCTGTCTTGCTTTCATTTCTTCCTTAAACGAGGCAATGCTCATATCAACTGCCTTAGTTGTTCTTCCATCGCTTTTGTTATTGGCATTCAAACCCACTGCTGATACCAAAAATTGTTGCATAACGTACGGGTTCATTATGAATTGAATGCACAAGTCCGATGAAAAAACATTTATTATTATTCACAAATAAAACAAAAATGCTAAAGTCCCACATACATACAATAGAGGCAAATCCAGTAGTTATCTTTTAACTACTCAAATGTTCAACAGAACTTAATTCAAAACAGCTAGAGAAAGCTAACCCGTCAATTCACTATAGTCAACAACAGCAGTTTTTGAAACAAACTTTTAAAACAACTAACTATATTTCACGTGTGAGATTGCTCTAGCAATTTCTTGAAATCAAAAAGAGATATTTACTTATTAAATGTTAAATGCCCGTGCTCTTGTACTTTTAATTTTCCAGCTTAGGTTTCTTTTAATATTCGTCACGTGCTGGGGAATAAAACAATTGTATTTATAATTCTACTAACATTAACTGTTTAAATACCAAATCTGTAACAATAAGCTAAAACTCAGCCCAGTAAACCGTCTGCTTTGTAATTTTTTTAATGCTAAATTCAGTAAAAATTGGTATTATTCATATAGCTAATTGGCTAATGTTGAAATCAAAGACAAATTTTTTAAATGTCCCTTTTTGAAATGTCAAAGACAAAAAAAAAAATATGAAAATTTATAGAATCTTATTCACAAAAGAAAAAAATTATCCAGGTTATATTCTTCTCCCATATTTGGTTTTTGAAGGATTTTGTCATGAAATTACAGAAGATGTTTTGAGCTCTCCCCAATCATTTCATTTTATCTAGCATCGAGCAAGGCACAAAGAAACAAGCCAAAATTCACCAGTAGAGCATAAAAAATGTGTGGCATGGCTTTTAACAGAAAAGTATAAAAAATATTACCAATTCAAAGTTAAATTTAAAAAAAAACTATTGGAAAAAATAAACAAGTAATGATACTACGAAGTCAATATTTTTAATGGACTGTTATTTTTATAAAATATATAATGTTTTTGGATATCTTGTATTACCTTTTTTATATAGTTTGCCAATAAGATTCTTCTAATTTTCATATCACAAAATAATTTAATTTTAATGCTATAACACAAAAGCAAAGTGTCTCATCAACATCAGAAAAATAATGAATTATAATAAGGCCCTGCAAAAATGGTTTGATTTATTCAATTACAAAAAAACTCCCGAGGGCTATCTGCCTCAGGGAAGGGATACCTTCATGGAGGAGTTTCTATGGAAAACTGTCTCATATCATTATGAGACATATCATCATATGTCAAACATGTCTCATATCATCATATGTCAAACATGTCTCATATCATCATATGTCAAACATGTCATTTCATGGTTTTCCCCATGTTACACATGGGGAAAACCATGAAAGCGCCCATGCAGCCAGCCCATTTGCTAGGATTCATACCCAGGACTGAACTAACAGTATTCAGTGACTTTGTCACTTGACCACAGGTGGGCCCTCAGAAATGGAGTTTTGTATAATGATAAAAATATTTATGCATTTCATTATCTCAAAAATCTAAGCTAAGCTAATTATATCAAAACATTTGTACTTAACATATCCAATCTGATTTGTATTGTATCTTCACTACTCACCACACTGAGTTTAAAAGTTCAAAGTTGGAGGTTTCATTTCCAGATCATTCACTATTCATCTAATATTTTCAACATTTAGAATGCTTGTTTCTAAATGATTGAATTATTGCTATACTCAGAAGCTGTAATTCAATTATACAGTTACACATATAAACAAGATTCATATGTAATATAAAAATGGCACCTAAACTGTCTCACTTCCAGAAAAAATTCCTTAAAAAAATTTTTTAAGAAAAAGAAAAACTAGAAAAAATTTGTTAAACTGAGAAAAGGTTAAATCAAGAATCAGCAGCACTTGCACAAATAATAATGACAAATGTTAAAAGAAAAGCTAAAGTTTAGATAGTTCTTTCTCCCATTAAAGCTTATGGGAAAAATGCAAAATTAAAGAAATTAGAGTCACCTCAAAACGGAACCACTCGGAATTCCATTCTGGATTAAGTGAATGTCTGAAAACTTCCGTCTTGTATGTATTGTTACTCAATTTAATCTGGAAAAAAAGAAAAATGTTTATTTATTGCAAAAAATTTAAACTAATTTATTTCATTAAAATACATCACAGTTTATTTCTTACTTCTACAAAAGCATCACATGTATCACTGGCTCTGTCCATAACAGGCAGGTTTCTGCCAGCTAGGATGCGAACCTTCACTTTTCCAGGCATGGTTTTCTAACCTAAAAAAAAGATCTGAAAATTCAATATTTAAAACTTTTTTTTTTTTTTTTTAATGAAATGAAACCAGGAAACTAGTGATCTCTGATTCTATGTCAAACTAGTACACTGGTTATCATAAATTAAGTAAAAATCACAAAAATCACGATTACTGAAAAAGTTACATGTAGAATTTAATTAATTGCCTGATTATACCGAGTTATTTCGGGTTCATATATATTGCAGTTAATTATTATCCCGAGAAAACTCGGACAAAGCAGAATTTGTTAGTGTGATTTCTTTTATCACGTTTTTATTTGGTCTGGAGGAAATGAAAGGAAATATTTAGCTTTGATTGGCAGTTTGCCAAATTTTGGTGGTTACGCAGTTCTTTTGGAGGGACTGGTCGCATGTTTCCCTATTGTATAGTATACGTTGGCTTGTGAATTAGTAATGTATAAAGAAAGATGCATGCGTTGGAAAAAAATAAAATAATGGCGATGATGGAAGATAGCGAAAGCAATTATTTTTCAGATAGTAATTATGAAAAGGTTGGGAAAAAAATCAAAAAAAAAAAAAATCAAATCCGAGACAGTGTACTCTGTGCTCCCGTGAAAGAGATTCCAGCGATAAGCTAGTAAGAAAAGAGACCAGATACAAGTGTAGAACGTCAGGTACCACTCTGTGCTGTCCCTTGTTTCCAAAACTATCATACAAAGATTAATATTTAACTTTTTTTTTCGTTTGCCCGAGATAACTCGGGATAGTAAACTAATATTAAAAATAAATGCTTTTACACCTTCAAAAATTAAAAATTCAACTTACATATTTTGTTTTGTTTTGTTGTATTTAATAATAAAATAAAAAAATGTGATGATTTTTTGCAATTTTTTTCAAAAAAATTTGTAAGGGAAGCGGTTAATGAAACTTACCCACAATATACAACACATAATAAGGTATCGAATAACATAAAAGGAAATTACCAGTAAATCTATTAGTATAGAAATTAGCACATGTATAAAATGAACAAATCGAAGGTGTCAGTTTGCTATAGGAAAAGTACCTTCAATATGGAATACGATTGCCTCTAAAAGCAATACAGCACATACAGAGATATGTGATGCTTTCAATTATACGGTCTATCAATTCCATAGGAAGCGAGAGCCATTGCTCTTGCAAAGCAGTTGCAAGCACGACAAGGGCCCGAGGGGGTGGATTGAGAGCAGCTAGACGTCTCCCTAAAGCATCCCAAACATGCTCGATAGGGTTCAAGTCCGGGGATCGAGCTGGACACTCCATGCGCATAATTGTTTCCTGTTGAAGATAATCATCTACAATGCGAGCTCTGGGTGGTCTTGCGTTGTCGTCCTGTAACAGGAAAGCATCCCCTATTGCCCCAGCATATGGGTGCATATAAACATCAAGGATGTCATCTCTGTAAACTTCAGCATTCAAAGTTCCCCTTGGAACGACATGGAGGTCTGTGCGTCCAGCCAAAGACAGACCACCCCAAACACAGACACTGCCTCTTCCGTATGCATCTCTTTCACAGACATTTGACGGATGATAACGGGTTCCAGATTCTCTCCATATCAAATAACGCTTACTATCACTTTCTTGACTAAACCTGGATTCACCCGTAAAGAGAACAGCCCTCCATTGATCAGGTGTCCAGTGGACATGTTGTCGTGTCCACTGCAAACGGTTCCTCCTATAGCGTGACGTAAGCAGCATACAAATGGGTGGTCACCTCACATACAGACCACCTTCGTGAAGGCTTCTATGTATAATTGACGTTGACATGAACCTTCCGGTGGCTGCAGCAAGGGAGGATCTAAGAAGAGTCGGAGTAGCAGTTCTATTCTTTCGTGCACATAATGTCAAATATCGGTCATCGGCGCTCGTCGTAGCAGTTGGCTGAACCTCCTAGATGCCGAATCTGTGGTTTGAAATTGCCTCCAAAGTCTATGAACCACAGAAGGACTCACATTTAGCCATCTGGCCACCTCTGTTTGACTTTGTTATGCCTCTAGTCTCCCATGCTCTCCATCATAGTTCTGCAGGCAAATGATGCCCGGAGGTCATTGTAACGAATTGGCAATCCAGATTTCTGATGCACTATCACAGTAAAATATTGGGCTTGCTCTCAAACATGGACTTTGCCCCTCGCAGATGACGTATCTGAGTGCAGTGCCACTATTTGCAATTGCAGTTTTTTACTCAGCTACTCTTACTTGGCAGCATATTCAAATTTTACACGGTTTGGCTTATTTTTGAGCGAGTTATCGCTATTTTTGTGATTTTTCCTTAATTTATGATAACGAGTGTAATTATGTAATTATGACACCACCACCATCAAAATAAATGGACAGAGATACACACACTGATAACTAATATATGATGTTATCTCATGGATAAAATACATTAAAATGGCTAAAATGGTTATAAATGAACTAACAAACTAAAATAGGAATCTTTCCCAAATAATTCAATCTAAGTTTAATTAAGAGAATTTAAATATTTTAGGTTAGATTTAAAAAAGGTACTTTTCTGCTATGCACCTGCCATACATTTTGGTGGGTTTTTTAATTGTAAACACACAATTAAATGTGTTAAATTAAACACACATAAATGGTTTGGTCCCCAGATAGTGCTATAATTTGATTTAGCTTCTCTTTCACAGGTACCAAAAAGCATGGCAGGTGCATAATGTGAAAGTACCTAAAATGATAAGAAATCAGTTACAATGTATTGTACAGACAATGGCACATTGTTCTCTACATAAATTGGTATACTCTCCCCATTAAGCCTATGTCTGACAATAGACTGACTAATTCTGCATTAAAAGAGTTTCTTCCTTTCTACTTCTGCACAGCATCCTACTTGGTTTTTATCTTCCACAACTTATTACTTGTTTGCAAATCCCAAAGTAGCTGCAGTTTGTTTCACATCTTTGAATTATTGAAGTAAACAGAATTAAATATAAATATTAACTGGTTAAAATTGCTTGAATCTTCATATAACAATTTATAAATGTTTACAATAGATTAACACAATTCGGATCAAACTGAATTTATAAGAATTATAAGAATTTGAATATTATAAGAAAAATCTGATACAACAAAGACCAATAAAATGTCATGAAAAAAGATTCAGATGTGAAAAAAGATTCAGATGAAATAAAGTTTAATCCAAAAAATTATTCTGAAAATCATTAGAGACGGAGGGACGGAATTTGCCTAATTTAAGTTTCAATAATTCAATAAATTTCATTCACTGCTGCAAAACATTTTGTTAAAAAAAGACTAAGAATTAAAAAACCAGGAGAAAAAGCAAGAATCTCCTGGAAAAATCAGAAGAGTTGGTAACTATGTATAATGGATTTATATTCTTTCATCCAAATCAACAAAACGGTGGGTGATTTTTATTCCTAGGTTGAAGTCTTAAAAGCTAAAACTTTTTTTTTTTTTTTTTCTGTTATCAGCTAGAAAATTAGATATGAATCTGTTAAAGTACTTATGATTTCAAACAGCCTACATTCATAAGCTTTTGATCAATCTTTCAAAATATAACTTTCAATGAGAAAACTTAAATTCAATTCATTGCTTAAAAGACGGGAAATGACTCTTAATTATAGGTATAATGGACTGGTATTAAAGCTTGGGAATTGGCTGGAATGTTAGATGTTGAATCTATGATCCTAACCATCAGAATTCAATGAAAGAAACTAATATTTGAATATGACCATTCTAATAGAACTAAAATAGATCTACTAAAATAGTTCCTCCCTCCCCCTTCAATATCCTTACAGATAAATCCTTTCTTCTGTGAAGCAACAATTTGAGCAGCATGACATAGTGAGCATACATCGGTAACTTCTTTGCCTATAAAAAAATTTAAAACTACAAAATCCTGCAACATCCTTTAATGCAAAAGACACTTCAAGACTTTAAAAAAAAAAAAAAAAAAAAAAAAAAAAAAACTTTCCTCCTACAAATTGTTTTGACACTTTTGGTACCAATAGCTGCAACAGAGAAAGAAGTTTTTCTTTTAAAATAAGCCATTCCAGAGTTTTGTGATTTCAAAACAATGGCTGTGAAAATCCACTGTTAGATAATTTAGTTTTACTTTAGAAAGAAGGAAAGAAAATGAAAAACCTTTTCATGACTGTTGCTACTAGAAAGTGTGCGCAGCAGAAAATGAATAAGGAATATACTAAAAAAACAAGACAAAATTTCATTTTCAACAATTAAAAAATAAATATTTCAGTTCTGGTGGAAAAAAAAAATTGCTGCATGAATGCAGAGTGCAAATATTTAGAAGCAATATAAACAATCTGGAAATGCCATAATCTGGTGTTCAGTATTTCCATACATTCAATAATTTTACAAAGTCCACAGAAGTTATACAGAGCATATTTTATGACTTATTTGAGAACAGTATCATATTGATGATGACAAAGATTTCTGGGAAGGTATGTCTTTGTGGAGGAAAAGCCTATACTCATATGTAACATGAGTATAGGCTTACATGACAGAACCCATAAGCACTCACACAGTCTTTGCTTACAGAAATTTAAAACTGAGTTGAACTAGGTTTTACCCATTCAAGTGGCCTGTTTTTTCAAGAATGAAATGTGATATTTACCATTATATAAATACATATTTTTTTTTAAATGATGAATATTGGTATGGATACTTTTCATGAAGAAATATGTTATCTGTGTAATTACACTTCAATCATGCATAAAGGATCTGCAATATAATCTCTTCCTTCCACCTATAAATATAAAGCTTTATAATCTATTCCTTCCATCTCAGAAATTTATTTTATAAAACTGCCAGCTGGTGGTTGTTCACTCAACTATTAAAAGTTCTTTAAGGATAAATCGTCAATGAAAAGGACACTTAGGGCAACAATTATTGCACATGGCTTAGTATTTGAAGCAGCAAGTTGCATATGGCATATTTGAAGCAGTTCCTTCTTTTCTTTTTTCTTTCTTTTACACCAAAGCTATTAGGTATGATGTAATTCTCTGACATCATTATTCAATAACTATAAACTAGCTCTATACTTTTTAGGGAACAAAACTATGCTAATATTTGAAAATAATATCATGATTAGTCTATGATGCTCACAAAATCAAATTTTGGATGAATTATGATTTTCTTCAAAATCTGCTAGAATTATTATTGATTCCAAAAAAAATATTGATAGTTTCTGATTATCCACAACCTATGAAAAGTTGCCAACTTTTGATGATTTTATGAACTGATGGGAAAACTCTTGTGTCATTAATTTTAGGGATTACAGGTGCTGCTCTGCATAAAATAATAATAATTTTAAAAGAAAACAGAAAGTTATATGAGAGAAAAAAATCTGTAAAGCTGATATTTACATTTTTATAGTTCACACACACAGTTCAGCAAAATGAGGATTAAATATAAAGCAAGTAAATCCACATGACTGTTCTATGTATATATGTAGGCTAACTGTTGTCACTTGTGTATTTAAAAATACACAAAAAACAAGAGAATTCTACTGAATATTGAAACTGGGGGTGTGGATAATCAGCAAGTACCAAAATATTTCATAGTGTTAATATGTAGCAATAATACTTTTTTTAAATTCACCACTTAGTAACTAGTCAATTAATATGGAACAGATCCCACTTGAAAAGCTTTCTATGAAAATGGATTTACACAGCCTACTCTGAAAAGCAGGATTCTGTTAATATTGTTATGGGTTAGAGCAAGACATTCAAAAGAAGAAGCACCAAAATTCGAAGCACTAATGTATATTGTTTTGCAGAAAAATGAAGATTTAAAAATAGCGGTCAATAGAATTTGATGTGGCTGTTTAGGATTGCAGAGCACTTAAATACTAACTGTTTTAGAAGTGGTGCCTTTATAGAGGATTTTCACAGGACACATAGGTTTGTAATTTATAGACACCCCTGTTTAGTAGGAAAATAATAAAAATTCCATCAGCTAGCTGACGGAGTTTTTATTATTTATCAGTTTTTTTATTTTTTTTATCAGGTTTTTGAATGGAGCTCAGATAAAACTATATCAGTTCAGGGGACTTTTCCACCAAGTTGGTAATAGATTAGTGTGACATGGGCTAAGGAAAATGTCAATACATACAAATAACATGTTATTTTTTGCCTTTTCAATAAATTTGATATGAAGCTTTTATAAATAGAGTTAAATTTATTATTCTTTACTACTAATATTTTAACTTACAAATTTTATAATATGATACACGTGTAATAAAACAGGCTAAAACAGGATATAAAGCCAAAATATTAGAATGCTTATCTGTAATATATATCAGATTTTGGATTTTTTTAAGTGTGGCAAAACATGCTAGGGAAGAAATGCTCCAGTGGAAAATCTTTCAAGACAAACTGGATCATATTCACATTACACACTGGGAAAACTATGGAAATTCCCCTACAGCCAGCCTGTTTGGTGGGATTAATCCATTCAACCTGGGTCAAACTACTAGTGCTTAGCAATTTTACTAATTCAGCAACTGGTGGGCTTATATATAGATAGATATATATTATGAAATTATACCTTTAATATTTAGATGGTGGTTTATCAAAGTACATTATAAGAAGAAATATTGAATTATTCTTTAGAATTAATTTTTTGTATCCTAGATTACTCCTCAAGTTTCAAATAATTCTAATATTCCATTTTTGTCAATACCAACACTGCATTTACTAATAATGAGAAATATTGGTTGTTTTTAATACTGGTCAGAAAAAATAAAGTCTGAAGTAATATTATTTTTTCTGTATAATGAGGGATATAATTCCATACAGATAATAATTTTTCAAAAATTATTCAAATATCACCATAGCATATATAACTTCAAAAATTTATTAAGTTGCCAATTTTCTAAAACATATTCAAAAGCTAGAATGCTATAACAGGGTAATAAAATCCATTAATAAATCTTATCTATTTTTAAGAGCATAATTACAAAAATAACTGACAAATAGACAAGAATAAGTTATATATTTCATTATAAATAAGGAAATACATTGTCATGATAGAAGCACATTAATTCATCTTACATAGAAACTATTTTTTTTTTTCATGTTTCAGATATTAGTAAGCTATATTTGCCAGTATCATAAAAAATACTATGTTATGATTTATTTAAACTGCTTGCAGTTATTGAAATATAATAGTCCTCAAAAAGACTAAATACGTATAATAAATGTTGCATATTAATAACATAGATGAATAATCGTAATATCAGGTCCACATAAAAATTCAGGTCACAAAAACATTTCAGTTTTCTTATACCTTTTGATTACTAAAACAGACTACTAAAACAGAATTTAGAGCACAGACTAAAATTTATTTGCACAAAGAATAATACTGTATTCAAAATACAGCAACAAACAAATAAATCAATAAAGTTCTTTACTGTACAAAACATGGTAAAAAAAACTTGATGTTGTTACATGCATTAAAGATATAATTAGAAATGATTAAATTTCGTTTTATATTTTTAATTAAATTACTAAGCGAAGCTGAAATTTAAAAAATTTAAAGACGTCGTTTCAAATCCTGTTTGATCGGCATTATTGAATGCAAACTGAGCACAGATTAAATTATAGCTCATATTCAAATTAAAGACAAATCTTAAAATTACTATTTTTAATTACTCATATAATATCCTTTAATACATAAATCTAATTAGTTTAATACATGAATACCTTTAATAAATAAATCAACCGAGCCGCTTGGATACCACGCAATTCATCCATAAAACTTTTACACTATAGTAAATCAGTTTTTGCTTTTCAAACAAACATAGTTTTAAGATTTATTTATGTATAAGTATTCATTTACACTAAGAGTAATAAGGAAATAGCTTAAACACAATGGATAATAATTTAATTTTAAAAAACAAAACTATTTTTAGACACGTTTTTATGTTTACAAGTTTCATTCCGACATCATGAACAGGGTATCCCCAGTTTTTGCCGCTCGAAACGCTAATCAAATCTAGATGACGAATGAAAAAAAAAAAATTCAAAAAGTCATAAAGACATTTTAATTCAAATATACCTGGCTAAGAACAACTAAGAAATAATATTTACAAAATTTATCTCTTCACACAAAATGAAAGAATGAAAGCATATGATTTTGGATTATTATTAACAATATTTTTCTGGGTCAGGATGGCCGAGTGGTCTAAGGCGCCAGATTTAAGCTCTGGTTCTCGTAAGAGAGCGTGGGTTCGAACCCCACTCCTGACAAATACTGTGAACTTTTTTGACGTTGTATGAAAAATATACATATTTTCGGATTTTATTGTTGTCATTCATATTATTATAAGAAAATAAGAATAATTAACCATATTAAGCACTAGTTAGCATAGACTGTTTAGAAACAAACGATAAATTTCATTTCATTACAATGCATTATTCAGTTATGTTTAGAAATAAAATGCGTGAAAATTCTAAATAAAAGATTTAGAGGTTTTACCCCCTGTAAATAGAAGACAGCAGTGTGTAACTTTTACTGTCTAATTTACTGACATAAAAAGACACATCTGACAGAAAGACATTTTGTTACTTACGCACCTGACAAGTGGAATAGTTAAGTCCAAAATATGCCGACTAGATAGCATGCAACTGAAAATATTTTATCTTACTACACCAGATAGGCAACTAAAAAAATAAGGTGCGTAACGTTAATAAGTAATGATAGTCTAAATTTTATTAGCCACAACTAAATGAAGTAGGAAAAAATTTCGCAATAGTAATGGAAAATTCAGATTATCAAGAATTCAAACTTAACATTCATATCGGTTTAGAGAAATTTTCGATTTATTGACTGTGTTAATTAGCTTAAAAAAGACCCAGATTGATCCGTGAGCATCTACAATTCGTGAAGAAGATAGTTTCTAGCTCTTTTCTCCACACATCTACCTGATACAAACAAATTTTGCATTTACATACAAAATATTTATAATTATTTAATACAAATACAATATATTTATTTTAATTTATGTGTCAAGAAAAATTTAATCATTAAGAGACTAGGTTGTCAAATTTTGTGCCAGTTGGAAAGTTTTGTCGGAAAATTTAGAACGTTTTTTAATATTAATTCAAAGTAAAGCAAATTATTTGATGATTAATTAAACATGTTAGAATTATTTGAAAGAAATGCCAGTCTGAAGATTCAATATTTAGCTGCATATTTATTTGAATTACAGAGTGTGAAATCAACAAAACGTTTTTAGGTACCAGACTTAAGATTTCAGATAGAAAATAAATATGAATTTAAATTTTTTCCATTTGCGTTATTATTGTTTAAGCATATTTTGATAAATATTTATTAAGCAAAATTTAAAATGTATTTAAAATAAATGTTTTCTTTAATTAAATATTTATTTATGCATATAAAAACCGGTTTTGTGTGAGCTGTTTTCAGATTGTACATTCGCACCGCATACAGTTTGAGCTTAAAAAATAATACTTCTTGATTCAAAATTCTAGATATAATTTAATTACATATTATTATCAGATTTCAGAAAATATCTAATGCATTTAAGCTGAATACAAGTTACAAAATCTTGTTCATAAACATCATGACGTTATTTTTTTTTTTCCTTAAAAACGTTTAAGAGTTCACTTTTTATATTCGACGATGTTCTCTAGATGGCAGCACTACAAAATTATATGCATTGGAGCAGGGTTAACCCAAAGGTATCAAGGAGCTCGTACGTTTTTATTTTACCGCAGTTTCATTTTATTTTTGAACACTTAAAGGATAAAAGATGAGTTTATTCCATAATAAACTGAAACTTTTCCATGCTACTTTTTTGAAAAAGAAGGAAAATTAATTTCTCAGAACATCCTAAGCAAATTTAAGATTAATAATTATAAGTTACAATATATCCTTCAGAAACGGCATTGATAGAACAACCTTCCAATATGCAATTAGATCATGTTCCTTTAAACAGGAATAAATTCCAAATTTCTTCCAAATTATTTTTATTATCGTTATTATTTTGTTGTTGCTGCTGTTGTTAATTTGTATGTTTTTAGATGAAAATGACAAGAACATTTGAATTGGATGAAAGCTAGGGCAAGACTGTGTATGCCCGCACGGACGGAGCCAAAGCCTGTTAACAAACTCAACGATTTTAAATGAGCGGTTTCAAAAGCGAGCAATGGCGTTTCACTTTTCAAATTGCTGCCACCAAATATTACAACCCTGCATTATATTTAAAGAAATTAAATAATGAAAATCTGCATAAATGTATGTATATTTCTCGCATTGTGATAAAACAACGGTACCTAGAGTCATCGAATTTTGAATAACGTAATTCCTCCAACGGAATATGAGCCATCTGGAAGCCTAAATTTGGAATTTGGAATTTGTTTTATTATCTATTTCATATTTTTGAAACTTTAACGGAATTTTTGATTAACAAACTCAACGGATTTCAAAGCGAGCAATGGCAATACTGTACGGAGGAAAAAAAAATTTTTATCTTCAGCACGCGAGACTGCGTATCGGAAATAATAATGATATGCTCATGCGACATTGCTGTTGAATTGGATTTCATGGTTTAATAAGTGCGGAGAACATAATATTTAATAAATAAATGTAGCACACAAAACATTTAAAAAAGGCTCTTTGTGCGTAATGTAAAATCTGAAAGCTTTCAGGTTTTATTATTTTATTTATTTTTCCAGTGGAAGATAAATTGTTAATAATTCCTCTCGGCTCAGGCAATTTGTGCATTGCTAGTAGGTGCCTGCGCGTGAAGCGCTAACCTCATCGAAAAATAGCCGATTTTCGAACTCGTAGAGTTCCGAAAAGTGTGCATGGCATAGCAATTAGATAAAGTAGTCAAAATAGATATTAAGATCTGACAGTATGTCATGGTAGAAGAACGTAAACGAGATGGAGATGAGACTGGCACTACAGTTGTAGATGGAACGACGTAGAGGCGAAGTGAATCGGCAGTGCGGAGTTTAAAAGAAAAACACCAGAATCGCAGGAGAGTCCAAGAGTCCATAGGTGTGACACACTTAGAAATAATATTGATACTAATGGCAGCATGACGACAACAATATATAGCACTATGTAATTAAGTTATGTACATGTAAACAAATGAAAGAAGGGGTATGACATAGTATATGCAGGAATAAAGTAAACATACATAAGATCAAACGTACAATGTTGCAACTAATAAATAAGCATGGGATAACAAATTGTTAATAGTAATATTTTTTTTTTTATTTTTTTATTTATATATATTTTAAATTTTTTTATTTAAAATATATATATATATATATTGTTTGGGTCTCATCCCAAATAACACACACTAAATAAATTCGCTGGTTCGATTCTTTATTAATCCTCATAATTAATTACAATTTACTCATAGCTGTGACCAGCCCTCTTACACCGTCGATGGCGATTCTCAAACTCCTGATCATCACATTACAGATGCGCATGCGTGGATTACATTACTGATGCGCAAGCGCGAACATGCCGCCACGCGTTGCAATGCTTAGCATTCAACTATTGAAATTAAGATATAGCATAAAAATTAAACAAGTATATCATAAACAATTTTGAATAAGTACTATTACATAAAATCATTATTATAATTAGACATTTACCATATACATTAGCATACAACTCAAAGCAATACAATATAACATTTCAGTTACATAATGACATTTTATGTGAAGCACATTCAATACTGTACAATAACTATAAAGACAATACTCATTTTTGTATTGGTAAGACACATAATTTGGTAATTGGTCGCTTGAAAGTTCCAGTTTGAGTTTTTACATTACACACGCGAACCTTTCCATCTTTACCATAAAATACTTCTATTATACGACCAACCGCCCAATTACAACAAGGCAAATTATATTTAATTAAGACCATATCTCCAACTTGTATATTGTTTTTAGAACTTTGCCATTTAGATCGATTTTGTAAATGACTTAAATAATTGGAGTTCCATTTTTTTCCAGATAATTTGTACTAATTTTGTGATCTGTTGCCACAATTTTAACCTGTTAATGTTAACTTCCGTGATATCTGGCTCAGGGATCGAATTAATTGCTCTACCAATTAAAAAATGCCCAGGTGTTAGAACCTCTAAATCATCAATGTCCGAAGACAAAGGTGTCAATGGTCGGGAATTTAAAATTCCTTCATTCTGAATCATAACTGTTAAAAATTATTCAAATGTCAATTTTGCATTACCTACGACACGTTTGAAGTGGTATTTAAAAGATTTAACTCCAGCCTCCCAAAGGCCTCCAAAATTGGGTTGCTCTGGGAGGGAGAAATTTCCATTCAATATTCTCAGAACTCAAATAACCAGCTAAAAGCTCATCTTGTTCGTTCACTAGTTTGTTTAACCTCTTTAATTCTGCATTTGCACCTACAAAATTTGTAGCGTTATCACTAAATAGTGTTAAACTTTTACCTCTTCGTGCAAAGAAACGTTTCAAGGTAGCTATTAATGCTTCAGATGTTAGGTCTGTTATCAGCTCTAAATGAATGGCCTTAGTAACCATACAAATGAATATACACACATAAACGTTTTGATATATACCTTTTCTCTGGTTTTTGTACTTAATTAGGAATGGGCCACAGAGGTCAACTCCAGTACAATTGAATGAAAGATTAGCTGTGATTCTTTCCTTGGGTAAATCACCCATGATTTGCTGAGCTACAATGGGATTAGCTTTAAAACATATTATACAATTTTTTACAATTTCTCTACAAACATTTCTACCACTTACAATCCAAACTTTTTGTCTTATATGATATAACAAAGATTGAGGACCCACATGCAAATATTTTAAATGATAGTAATTAACTCTGTTAATTTGTGTTTAGAAGGCAGAATAATAGGAAATTTTTTCTCATAAGTTAAATTGCTATTTTTTAATCTACCTCCAACTCTTAACAGTCCATTACTGTCAATGAAAGGGTTAAGACTTTTAATAGAACTATTTCTGGGAACAATAACTGATTTTTTAAGATCATTTATAAAATACTCACCTTGTACTAATTTTATTAAAGTTTCTTCAGCTGCTCTCAATTCTCCCACTTGTAAATTACCTACCTTCTTTTGTTCTTGCTTACAATTCTTGTAAAACCTAAAACAAAAACTTATAATACGAATTTATTTTAAATACTTATTACTGCAATTCAATAAATCATTAACATTCAGATTTAAACATGTAGATAGTTCAGAATCAGCAAAGTTTTTAAGTTCATTACTGTCTTTTTCAGTAATTGCTTCAGGTATAACTTTTATAAGGTACTCATCCTTCATTAAGAAGTCAGGCCCGTTCCACCACAGTTGACTTAGTTGCAGTTTTTTGGCAGACATACCTCTAGATATGAGATCTAATGGGTTTTCTTCAGAAGCGATATGATGCCACTGTGCTATTTCAGT